TTGATTGTTAAGTGAATGCATGACCCTCCTGTTCCATCATGATATTGCAAATCTCCTTTGCATGCATGGGCTCACTCTAACTGCCCATTATTGCAAAAACCAAAATTAATATTACATATTTTTGGCACCATTATGTCTGACATTAAGTTCTAGACCAAATAACGGAATATTACAGAATCCACGTCTCAACGAATTTCACTAAATATGCCTACGAAATCCAGAACATTTCAAGGCAATCCTAGCCAACCTAATTACAACAAGTAGCTGCTTAATAACTTAACTACCAATTACATTAAAAGGTTTACCACTGATATGTATAGATCTTCATACTAGTCCTGCGGACAAAAGAGCAGCTGCCCTGAGTAAAGACAAACCAAAACCTAATTTTTGCCAACCTTCCATTTATTTAGAAGAGGCAAGTAAAGGGGATCCGTAAATAAATCTCACTGGCAGCCGAAGGAGGATTGCCTTGCAGTTGTGACAGTAGATCTGTGTAAAAGTCCGTTCCGTGACTCGATGAATCCATGCTGAAAATTCATCTGTTGTATGAATGTCTAAGGCTCAGCGCGGATTCACCAAGTTTGGTGGAGATTTCACTGAGGACCTACCCTTAAAAATCTACGATCATAGCTGAAAGACAATTTTCCTTCGGCTTCCAGCTAGACTAATTTATGAATCACATTCACTCGCCTCTTCAAACTAAATGAAAGGTAAGCCGAAATAAATCTATTAATGGATTCTTCAAAACCTATCAAGCCAAAACTTGCCTTTAATTCAGAATTCAGACAACTTCTCCGAGATTCCTTTACAATTATCGTCTATAGGTAAATGTGGAAACTTCACTAGTTGCCTACGGGTAAATAAAATCCTGGCCTAATAAATAGATTAACTCAAATAAATTAACTAAAATATAGAGAAATGCAGATCTCTTGAAATTTTTAATTATAAGGAATTTTGTAACTGTTCATTCGTAAAAATTTCAACTTATAAGAGTTGAAAACGAAAATAAGAATACAAGTTTGGGCATCGTGGGCAAGGTAGCTGTAATACCCTGAGTAAGCTGTCAGCTTTTTCGCTAAAAGTATCGAGTTTTTGAAGCATTATACATGTGGCTAGGCAAGGAATGGCAAATCGAAGTACTTTGCATTTATTTCGTACAAAAATCTTAGTGTCTATTTTATGTATTGGTTAAGAGGCTAAAAAAGATATTCATCATGGATTGGTGTTCATGTTTTTTTAGCTAACAGTAGCTACGTTAAGGGTGTGCACTGAGCTACGAGTTTGCATCATTGTAGTCTTAAAAATTATATTTCCTAGAGGAATAATTAATTTGGTGTCATATCGCCGATCGATTTAAACATTCATGGCTATAAGAGAAGATTCAAAAAGTAATCAATAATCTGCTCTGGCGGAAGGAACTAAATAATATCAGAAAGATGCCAAGTCCAAAAGCAGCAAGTCCTTCTAAAAAGAAATCCCCAGTAAAGAAAAATAGTCCTTCGAAAGGTGGGAAAAAGGTTGAAGAAGGTTTGGACCCTGAAGATGCTATCTTCGCAAGGAAAAGATATGACACAATGGACACGATTTTTGCAAGGAAAAAGGAGAACATAAAATTATATGTCAAAAGTATACACATATATGAAGTATGGAATAAAGTACCGGCCTACGAGCAGTTCTGTAATTCAAACAAGGGTTCAAGCCCAAACAAATCCAAAGGGTCTCCGAAAAAATCCCCTAAAGCTGCGGCCAGTGCAAGGCCTTCGATAGGGAACGAAGAAGAGGAGAAACCAGAATATGAGCCCGCCCTTGTTAGTGGCGTGGTTGCTGTCAAATTGCCACTGATACAGAATAATAACAAACTATTCGTGGAAGCGAGTTGTGAATTCCGCTATCTAGGTCATTCAAAAGTTCCTCCTTACCCAGAAGCTATTGCCACATCATCCAAATCCTTTAAAATAGCATCCTTTATTTTTCCATACAACTTTGAAAGCCCTACTCCCTTAACAGATTTCGGTCAGCAGATGACAAACAAGCTCAGAGATGAGCTGGGAAGGGAGTTTAAAGCATACCCTTTTCAGATAGAAATCACTCAAGCACCTGACTCAATATTTTTCAATAGGCCATTCACTAAGGAATATACTAGCGGACTATTTTGGACATTGCGCGCTTTCACCGCCAGGAAGGATTATTGTGAGCCACTACCAGAAAACGAAGTGGTAATGGAGTTCTTTAAATATACAATATGCCCCAAAATAGCATCCCAAATGCTACGAGAAAGTGATCCAGTTGAATCAATAAGATATGGGGCACAAGGAGATAGCGGAAGTCTACTTTTAATTGCCCAACTGGATAGAGATATTTATTTTCTTGGGGAAGAAATAAACGTTGGTATAAAAATTGAAAATTCCTCAGCACGTCACATTGTTCACAGCATTGGGGTCTACGTGGAGCAAACCTATCGGATCCGGCATCAAATCCCCCAGGATGTCAGCACCTCCATTGGAGAAGTAATAATTTCATCCGGTGATTCAGGGCTACCCTTACAGCCACGAACCAAATTATGGACCAAGCAAGTGGCGCTACGACCGCACTACGAAAATAAATACAATCTTGCGACCGATGGAAGAATGGCAATAGATGGAAAAATTATGTTGGCAGGTAGTACTATAATAATGGCAACAAGACAAATTGAAGAAAATAAAAGTTCGGTTGCTCCACCATACGAGAAGGAAAGTAAAGAAAAAAACAAACCACCAGAGGCGAAAGCAGGAAAGCCTAAAAAATCTCCATCTCCAAAAAAAAAGCAGCTCCCTGCTGCTAAAGAAAAGCAAATAGATTCTGAGTCAAAATCTAAGGAGATGAAAAATACAGTGAGGCAAGTAAGGACTCTAACAAACGAGCAAATTTGTCGGAGTATATTCGTCTCTTATGACGTTGTGGTGAGGCTAAATTTGCGTACAGTGAGTGGAGACGAAGGTGGAAACCCGTCAGTGCGTGTACCTTTCATTTTAACACGCGAAAGCAGATATCTAGATAAGCTATCAAATCCTGCCCCTCCCACCTGGGAATTGTCTGAGCTGCACAAGATCTGTGAAAAATTATAAAAGCTCAAGTAACCATATGGTGTTATTACTAAAAAAAAGGGAGTCATAACATTCATAAATTACGTTATCCGGTTTGGGCGAAAAGTAAAGGGTATTTGGAATGGGTCCCAGACTCTTAGTCCAAGTTATAAGAAAATATGTTGGTCCAATTCTCTAGACCAAGATACTTCGGAAATAACACGATATTTTACGCTAGAATCTTTTTAAAGCCTAGTGTATAAAATTATCTTTTCGATTAATTGACTATTAAATAGTGATTGCTCGTAAAAATCTGTCATGCAAAAATATTCATGGAGTGTTTGTGAATACTTGTAATTGAGAAGAATGGTGATTAATAATAAAAAATAATAAATTATATCTAAATTCGAGAAATTAGTTATGAAAGTTAGTACAGCCATAAAGTCGTAGGAAATACTAAATATAATTTGCATGCTATCACAGTACTCTGATAATATCATTAAGAAAGTTAACAGTTAAACTTTGTTACAATTTATTGTGATTACTTGTGTTGGGGTAGAGAATACGTCCAAAAACATTAAAGGAATGGTAATAAAGATATGCCGATTGCTTAGTAATAGAGTCTCCGAAGATAATTAAATAATATATAAAGTAAGGCTGTAATAATTATAGGTCAAAAAACCATTGTTGCTAAGTATTGAATTATCAATCTAAACTTAAGAGGAGGAATAATCATGTTGAAGTTAAAAAATATATACAGAAAATTATGTTTTGGAAAAACTTTTTTAAAATATTTTTAGTTAATAACCAATTTGGATTAATAAAAGAAAAAGATAATAGCTAAAAAATTAGACAAAAAAACGCGGGGCTTTGTTTATTTATTAAAACAAAATTAGTGCGTTATTTATTAATGAATTTATTTTTTATTATAATTAATAATATTTTTAATAATTAATAAAAATTTAATAAATTTACTATAATAAATTTTATATGTTTTATGTAATAAGTATTTACTACGCTGTGTTCATTTATGTACTCGTTGCTAAGCGCAA